GGGGGGGGGGGGGGGGGGGGGGGGGGGAACGTCCACTTCACGCGCATGTTGTGCCCGCGCAGAGCGCATGTGGCCATCCAGCGATCGCTGCTCTCTCCGTTCTTGATAGACTCATAGCGTTTATGCGGCAAACGAAGTCATGGTAAATAGTGCATGTTCTCCCCAACACCACCAAAAGTCAAAAATAATTCAACAAATGTGTCAACACCCCCTACCCTTTCTACGATCTGGTGTGGTGTGAATTTTCTGAGGCGTTGTTGTCTTTCGGCAGTCAGAGTCGACGGCGCTTTCGAGCCACAGAGCAAAACAAAAAAGAGAGCGCACAGCGAGAGAGGCCCATATCCAGAATGATGTTGCACCGCACTCCTGTGGGCTCGCCGATATGGCAAAAGGAGCGCCGACGTCGTCACCGCGGTTTGCGGGCGAACGTCACCATCGCCTGATTTGGGGGAAATAAAAAGCTCCCGCGACACAGCAGGAAATGTCCTCATTGCACAATACGTTGGGTGTCCGCATCACGTTACGTCATTGCTGCTGCCTGCTACGTGCTGTGGGCGATTGCAAGTGAAGGGACACCTAAGCACGAACAACGCGAGCTGTTGGAGCCAAAACCTCTGAATATATTACACTTCCCCCCACTCACGCCTCGCGCCCCCATAATGCCACGAGGAAAAAAAGAACGGACCGCCGCCCACACGGGGTCACACTCTAAAAACCAACCCCAAAAGAGCAGAAAAAAATAAACAAAACTTCTATCTCGTACACGAAGGCGGAATGACACTACTTTCTTCTTCTTGCAGGCTAACAGATGTATCTCTCTTAGAACGTGGGGGGTGTTCTCGTGTGTACCCCCCCCCCTCTCCTCCCCTCCCCGCCACCGGGACCCCTTGGGCAGCTGGAGGAAATCCTTGTGAGAACTCGTCTAGAAAACCACAAAAAAATCGGCACCAAGCGTTGTGACACAGACGCCGATCGCCGGAGCCATCGGCCACGGTCGATGCCGTTCTAATGCCATCCACGGCAGGCTACCACGCGGCCTTGGCCCCTCCCTCTCGATTTTGTTCTCTTCCAAGTCTCTTGGGGGTGGTGATGGGGGATGCTTCGTACTCTTCTGGCTCGGAGGCTACCCCTCCCAGGCCGGCCCCCTACTGCTCCCCCCCCCGCCTCCTCCTCCCTTAAAAAACGTCCTATCGAGCCGGAACAAGCGAAAAGTTGTAAAAAGATGACAGCAGAAACACAACTCGGGAGGGACACACGCGTGAGCAGCCGCTTCTCTCCAACCCGCCCCGCCCCTCCACAAATAAAGCGGAGATCAGGAGAGAGAGAGAGAGAGAGAGGCAGGCCCACAACCGGCCGTACAGCCGCGAGCAATCGTAGCATGAGCGTTTCGGTCTCGAACATGCTGGCAAAGCCCCCCTCCCCTTCACCCCCCCAGCCCCACGACCATACTACACTCGCGGTACCCATACTCTTTTCGTTCAACCATATGAGCGAGAGGAGAAACAGGTCAAGCCAGACGGACTTGGCAACCCCTATCGTAGTGAAGAGCACCGAAGGAGGCATGCAGAACTTGGGGAGAATTAACCATCGGATTCGATCGGTCCCCACTCTACCGAAGACAAGAGCTTGCGAAAGAAGAGGAACCCCAACACGAGGGACACAAAACACCGATAGAGGTGGGACGGGGGGAGAACGGGACGAATGCTGCCATCCGCACATTCCGCAAGTTTAAATTTTTCCTACCTGATCTCTTTGTCGTCTCTAGCCTGGTTTATCAGCAGCCAAAAGTATGGCTCGTCACAGGCCGCCAAAAACCAAGCAGAGCCATAAAACGAGCCCTCTGCTGTGACCGACAAGAAAACTACCACTACAACAACACGTTTTCAATGGCAGAACATCCCCCCCCCCCCCCCAAAC